GGCAATCATAATTAAATATAAGCCTCTGTGTATGATTTATTTGGGAGCTGGGTGGCGGCCCCCTGCCCCCCAAAAAGAGTAAAAAACAACCAAGAGTTAAGAATGGGCACACACGGTGGTGGCGCACGCCTTTAATCCCAGCACTCGGGAGGCAGAGCCAGGTGGATCTCTGTGAGTTCGAGGCCAGCCTGGGCTACCAAGTGAGTTCCAGGAGAGGCGCAAAGCTACACAGAGAAACCCTGTCTCGAAAAACCAAAAAAAAAAAAAAAAAAAAAAAAAAAAAAAGAATGGGCACACAAACCAGAGGTGCTGGTTCTCAGCAGTCCCAGCAACTCAAGAGGCAAAGGCAGCAAGACCACCAAAGTTCAAGGCTGTCCTTATCTACACAGTGGGGTCGAGGTCAGCCAGGGCTACACAGGAAACCCCATCTCAGAAATAAGTAAACATTGTAAGTACTAACAAACTTCCCTAAGGCCTGTGACCCTTGCAGACATCACTTCAGTGAGCCACTGTGAGGCCATGTGCCAAAGAGCAGCTGGCCTTCCAAGGAGGTGGCTGTGCCCATCAACTAAAGTCTCTACCTGCAGCGGAGACCGTGACGCTGGGCAACAGCTTCCCTTCTCTGTCTTCTTTGGTCCTACTGCAAGTCGGCTGGTCGAGGGAAGAGTTGCTCTGCAGCCTGCCTCCCCACGGCTTAAGATGGAAGTTGAAGGCTCTGGAAACCGATGGATCCCCCATGAGGCAGAACAGTTCATTCACCCAAACCTCCCTTAGGTAGAAAACTCCATTTCGAAAAGTGCCTTCTGGTTTTAGAGACTCCCAGTTTGGCTTAACTTCTCTACCTGGTAATTCTGAGTCAATGGCCGTTTCTGAGAGGCCCACGAGGCAGTTAGTGGAGTTTTTCCCCAATAATGCCTGTTCACCTGAGAACAGACATGCTTTTGGTAGGACGTTCCAGTATGGCACCTACAGAAATGAGGTTGAGACATCTTGTGAAGACTGAAGACAGCATCCCCACAATTGCCGAGGACCCTAAAGGCCTGCACTACCCCCTGACCTAACAGGGTATTCCTTCCATAGTAGGCTTCCATTTCAGGAGTCGCAGTGTCAAATCCCCCTAAGATGAGCCAACATCAGCCCGTGTTAGAACAGACACCCAGGGCAATCCTCCGTCCCTCCCTTGCCTGCTGGGGACTCATTCCCCATACTTCTGACCCCACAAAGCCCTTAGCAGCTCGTCCAGTGTTATTTGAAAATACAATATGGGAGTTGGGGGTGAAGAGATCATTCGGTGTTAGGAGCAATGGCTTTTCTTGCAAAAGACCCGGGTTTGATTCTGAGCACCAACATGGTGGTTCACAGCCATCTGTAAATCCAGATGCAGGTAATAACGCCCTCTTCCTGCCTCCGCAGGCACAGCACGCAGGCAGTGCGGAGACACATGCAGGCAAAACACCCAAATACGTTGACATCTTTTTAAAAGAAATAAAACCACAGCACAAGAGCATAAAGTTCACGCACTACCTCATTTCCATGCATGTCTAGACCTTTGAGAAAGCCTCAGCCTTTCTTCGGGGTCTTAAATCATCTAGTCTACTGCTTATATAAAAAAAATGTAACAAACCTAAACGACAGCCACCCCTGCAGCACAGCAGACTGCCACATCACTGATCCACCAGCTCTCGGACGACTTGGAAAGCCCTCCCTGGTACCTGTGAGAGTGGGACGTGGGCCAGTAGCTGACACTCAGGCCTGTTCCCAGACCGCAGCTCATTTCTCTAACTATACAGTACTCAAGGCTGTGGTAGCCCCATGGCTTCCTCTCCAGTTAGCCTCGCTACACTCCACAAGACATGCGTCATCCTTCAGCTTGAGATCTGAGCATCAGTATCCCCAAGGACAGGTTCCAACACTGTGTCCATTTTACACACACACACACACACACAATATATATATATATATATATATATATATATATAAATGTATATACATATATATATATCTCCAATATATCCAGACAAGAACCTCTCCAGGCTACTCAGGCAAAGAAAGGTGCTGAAGACCACAACCCAGCTGGCCTACCTTTCAAAGCCCAAGGCATGAAGAGAACTGCCGATCCCTCAGCAGCTGCACCTGGTGGGTAGAAAGAAAAGCTAGTGCCCCCGACCACGTTCTGTCTTCAGTGGTTAAACCTCGTCTGGTCATCTCAACAAGGTAGTAAGGAAAAAAGAGACAAAGCGGATGGAGGGAAACAAATCCCTGTGATTACGAAACTTTGAGACCAACTGAAAAAAAAAACAGACCACAACCAAATGGATTCTTTCCAAGTGTGGATTTGAGAGTCGGGTGACAAGGTGACGAGGTCTGAGGATATAGTTCAGTTGGCAGAGTGCCTGCCTGGCACACAGCACGTCCTGGGTTTGATCCCCAGCACTCAAAGGTGGAGGCAGCTGGATCAGCTGTTCAAAGTCATCCGGGCTCCATAGCAAGTGTGAGACTGGCATGGGACACGTGAGGTCCTGTCTCCTGGTTGGGGGATGGGAGAGAGCACAGCAATGATTCCACTGTCCAGGCATTTTCAGATTACTATTTATGTTGTTAACAAGAAAATTAGTCTCAGGAATGATAGCCACACCTTGTATTTTTTAATAGATGCTGTTACTTAGGTTGAAACGTTAAAGGGATTAAAATTAAGGTGGGACAAGACAAAAGCCCAAGTCACGTGTATGAACCGCTTAACGCACCAAGAAGGAACGCATGACCAGTGTGAGCTATTGTGTAAGCCATTGCTCACACACTGGTTTTACTTGCTCAGGTGATGAACAGCTCGATTGCAAATGAGTGTCTGAAAGCTGGTATTAGCCAAACTCAACTACCTGGCAGAATTCAATGACAAATCCCTTTATAACATGTTTTGAGTGGCTTTGTAGGGCATAGGATCTGGCTATGTGGTCCATCCCGACTCAAACTCACAATCCTCCTGCCTCTACCTCCCAAGTGCAGGGATTACGGGCGTGTGCCACCCCACACTTGACTAACACCAGCATTTCTCAGTGTCAACTCTTGCTTCCACGTGACCTCCTGCCACATCAATCAACGGTTCCCTAGAAACAGACCTCCAACTCGGTGTCGGCAAGTGAAGCAATGTTTCCCCTTCAGTCGCTGTTATTAACAATAACAATAAATCTCACGGACATTAAAGGGCCATAGGTTTTTGTTCTGTAACTTGTTTTCAAAATAATCAAAGAATTTCCTTTGAAAGCTTCACTTCTATAAGAGGAATTAACAACATGAAGGAGCAGTGGGAGGAACTTTTCTTTTTTTTAACTTAAACCCTGCTCTAAAAGGTTCTGCTGCCATTAGGCAGCAACTTTAGAAGTTTGAGGACCAGGCTCATCCCCCACAAGGGTAGCCAAAAGCTAGGTAGGAAAGCACAAGGGATGGGACTCTTACGAAGGCCTGACTTTCAAGCAGACTGCAGAAATCCTGACTATGGGACCTTCCTTCCCACCTGGGGTCACAGAGCCATGAACGGGGACAGGAGACCATTGCTCAAGTGCCAACTTGAAGAAGAGAAGGTTCCAGATCCCTCCCTAGGCAGTCCCCTGGAACATAATACATAGCAAAGATACTATAGAATGGCAAAGGATTGTAGAGGCTGAGCCTTCTGAACATCTGGCAAGATCAAAGGGCATTTGAAAATGCCATCCAGAAGCAGTGTTGTGTGCCCCCCTCCCCCCAGACGATTGCATCACTGAGTTCTCTGTCTTTCCTGAAACTTAGTGGTTAAGAAAGAGCTGGGCCATTTCAGGATGAGTGCCCACATCCTCTGTAGACTCTGGTTAGAGGGTGACAAACTGAAGCCTGTGGCCAGGGGTCACAGCAACGGTCAAGAGCTAGCCTGAGAAGAAGCAGGGCGGTGAGGTCACAGGTGACCTAGAAACAGGAGGGGATGGTAAGAACAGCATCAACCAGGTTCTAGTGTGTTGGTATGCACAAATGCATATATGTTTACATTTTCTCACTTTATGACATACTCAGAGCATTTTTTAACTAATAAATTCCCTCTTATCAATCACAAAACAGAAAAAACTAAGCCAAAAATATCCTGATAGAACTATGATCTGAGATCACAAGCACCTCCACCTGTTTGGGGGCACGTACTGTCTGAAAGTTTACATGTGAGAGTTCCAGATTTATTCTTTTGTATTTATCATCAAAAATCTAGATCTCATCTGGAATCTGCTACTAAATATCTGGTGACCTTGGACACATCACTTAAGCTCTGTGCTAATGAAACCACCGGACCTCGGGGCTTCTGATGTCTTTCCAGCCCACACTCTATCATGGAAGACACTCTGTCAACCCAATGATTAAAAGACTTATGTTATTTTACTTTGCTGGCAAAGGAGAAACAGATGCTCTTAAAAACCACTCTTGGTGCCCTTACTTCTGTTTTCTGGTAGGAAACGTGGAAGGGCCAGACCCGGGCCAGATTCACACAAATACCCTCCCCCCATCCCTCCCACGCCGTCACTTCCATCCCAGCCAGAGGTCAGAGAAGGTGGGCCCGTTTTTATAATTACTTAAGCATTTTATGATTTTAAGTTAGATGAGTTTATTTATTTCCATTCCCATTTTTACAGAGTAAAAGATTGCATTTTAGGAGAGTCAATTCATAGGCACTTGGCAGCATTGATTTCTCATGAGAAAAAAACTAGAGAGATGGACAGTGATGGTTAAGATCTGAATGGCCACGAAGACGGGCCTTTTCCCAGACACCAAGTTCCCAGGGACTCGCCCACCACTCCAGGAGCCCTGTCCTGATGAGAAGTAAACAAAGGCAGATGCCCAGAATGTAGGCTAAGGCTTGAGGCTGCGGGCTGCAGATGTTCCCAGGCAGGCAGGCCCTTAGATGCACCTGTGGGCACGACAGCTCCTACCCGCCGGGTTCAACACCGATAAACATGGCGTACTCATTTTCAGAAGACCTGAGTGAATGAGTCTAAGTAATGCTTTTACAAAAAAACCCAGCAAGGTTCAGAAAAGAGATGCTTGCTCCAAGGCACAGAAAAACACACAGAAGAGAACATACTAAGGCAGAGAATTAGATCTCAGTGGAGGAACCTTATTACTGCAACGAGTCAAACGATTACTTCGGAGAGACTGCAAGGGCAGGCAGCCATGGCAAGCCTTGCAGCCATCACCCACAGTTCCCTCATTCTTGCCCCAGGGCTGGCTCGGGGTGCTGTGGAGGGACTCTTGAAGCATCACTTGTACTTGTAAAATCCTTCTCCGGTCTTCTTGCCCAGCTTCTTCTGGGCCACCAGATTATTCATGGAAGGACTGGGCTGAAATAGGGGATTCGCTGGGTCCATTTCATGCCACCCTGTTGAGAGGAAGGACAAGGGCTCTCTTTGGTTTGGGTATCCTCAGGGCATGCCTGGGGCACAGGACCCACGCAGGCCACCATGGCAGAGACATAAGGCCAGCTTCGCTGGTGCAGCCAACACTGACCCTAAAGTGGGCATGCCACTATTTGCCTGGGCTGCTAGAAGCCTAGCTCCAGGCAGGGCGCCTGGGTACCCAGGACTTCGTGCAAACCGAGGCAAATGCCCAACAGCACAAATAGAATCTCCCACTAACCGGCTGGATTCCCAAGTGGGACAGTTGCCTTTCCAGATCCATATTAAATCCTGGATTGCTCCCACTGGTGTTCTGCCGTCTCATACAATTTCAAATTTCCTGTGTCAACTACGACCCTTCTCCTCCCCAGGATTTAAAAGGTTTTGGTGAAATGCTGGAGTAGTATGCTACATTCGACTTCAGAAGTTCATCCAGTTCAATGATAATCTTTATGCTGTCTTCAAAACCACTCCCCTTGAAAAACTGTCGAATAGCTTGATCTCAGTGGAGGTAACACAAACCAGCTCAGGACAGCCTGGCACGGTGTACCACTGTCAACGTCCCGACTTCCACTCTGCACTGTGGTTACTTAAGATACCCCCGTTGGGGGGAAACTGAAGGGCGCATAGGACCTGAGGTATACTAGAAACGCCCGTGATCGACAATTATATCCAAAGGAAAGATTAAAAACAGTTGCCCTGCTAAGCGACAACAGGCCATCTGTGTGGATCTCTAGCACGCCGCTCTGGCTGAACTCGCTTTGTTCCCCCAAAGGCTGAGGATTCCCAGGGTGGCAGTGTGGAAAATGGTGGAACCTTCTTCTAGAGGTGGGGCCTGAGAAGGTACCCGGGACTCCACCCACACAAGTGGACTTATAATTTTCTCAGGAGTGGGTCAAATCTGGGGATAGATTACTTCTTGAGTGGACAGTTACAAACCAGGGCCATCCCATACCCTCACCGTAGACCTTTCTGCACACAGCTGTTCTGCTTTTTAGCTCCGCCATGTTGTGACACATCCAGGACTATCTTGTCACCTGGAGCATTTCAAGCTGTCAGGAACAGGAGCCACACGACTCTTTTTTTTCCTTTAAAAATCTCCTACCTCGGGCACTTGGTTATAGCAACACCAAACAGACCGGGTAAGGCAGGACGTTGAACATCTTAAGATTCCTTATCGTTTTTTCTTAATTGACATTATAATTTATGGTCCTAAGAGACCAGTTCAAGCCAGTTTTTAAAAAGGAAGAAAAGGTTTTAATTCCTACCATCCAAGATGAACTTCGTAGTATCCAGCCCAACGTAGTCAAGAAGCTCAAAAGGACCCATGGGGTACCCAGCTCCCAACTTCATGGCGGTATCAATGTCCTCCTTGGACGCATCCCCTGCAGAGCAAAGGACAACCCTGAGTCACCGCCACCATCCTCAGCTCTCCCACCCCGGGTCAGTTCCAGCATCACTAGAATTGTGTCAACAACTGACACGCACGTTCAGAAAACGTCTAGAGAAGTTCAGGCTCCCGGGGTGGGTAAGATTTCTGTCTCAGATCACGTGCCACACAGGCCACAAGCTTTTCAAACCAACTGCAGCCAATGAGGAGACCTCTAGACCCTGCTGCCCAGGTCACAGAGTGAGCAGCCCCACCCTGGGAACACTGGCTCCCTAACAGCGTGGGATTTCCCAAGTCCAGAGTCATTCACAAAAATGTCATTTGATACTAGAGTTTTCTTTTATAAATGTGCTTTGCACATACACAAATGCATGCCTGTACATACATACAAACATATATACACATATGCACAAATGCTTAGCTTTCTATTTATGTGTTAACATATGTATTTTTTTAAACTTTGTTTTACAAATAAGCATTCTGCTGGGCCTGTGTTCACACAGTCAAGGTAACTGCTTCAAGAAAGCCCAGACAGCTAGAACCATGACACACTACTTGTTCTGCATCATTGAGAGCAGTTTTCAAAATCATGTTAAGTTGGTAGAAGTATGTAGGCGCTTATCTACAATGACAAGTTCCTCCCTGTTATTCTAAGAGACATGACAGCTCCCCAGTGGGTCTCTGAATCTGGAACTGGTCTGTGTCTAGAGTTCAGTGGTCTGTCCTCCGATATGGGTTGATTTAATAACTTCAGGTAAGGTAGAACCACTGAGCTGTGTTGGGTAGCAGAGGATGAGGGTTCTGGGCTTTTCCTTTAGAATTCTCCCTATACTGTCCTGCCGATGGGCCAGAAGATGCCTCTACAGAGAACAACCGTGCATCCTGCCTCCCAAATCAGAACTGGGAACCACCTGCACTACATGGCTATCTATCTAGAAGTTTGTTTCAAAGCATAAAGTAGTGGCCAATAATAGCAGAGCTGAATTGCGAGGCATTTACCCACTACCCACACAGTTCCCCAGAGTTTTCTTGAGTGTGAGCAGCAGGAAATATTAGATAGAAGGATTTATTGCGGAGAATATCGCGGAGATAAACAGATAGAAAATAAAGAATAGCCTCAAAAGGGCCTGGAACTTATTCCATTGGGCCCCGACTGTCTCTGCCCCAGGGTATTTATAGAGACACCAAGGAGTGGAGCAAAAGACCTCCTCCCCCAGCACAGCCAAGTGCAGACCATCTCAGACACCTGCACTCAGGCCCGTGGTCCAAGTCTATGCATCCTCTCTATGCAGACCTGCTGGATAAAGCCACAAGGAACCTGAAAACGGGCTCCCACACTGAATGAAGTGCTAAAAAGTGTATTCCATACCTAAAAATGTCGGATACCTCTACTGGGACCCTCTTCCTCAACAGTAAATACTTCCAAGTCATCACACCACGTTTTTCAAAAACACATAAAGCACAAAAATAATGCCAGAGGGTATCAGTGCAAATTAAGGTGATTATAATACCAGGCACGATGGCACATGCCTGTAATCCCAGCAGTTGGGAAGTTGAGAAAAGAGAATAGTGAGGTCCAGGCCAGCCTGGACCACATAGTGGGATCCTATAAACATACACAGAGATATATACAGACACACACTCGCAAGCATGCAAAAAAAAAAAAAAAAAAAAAAAAAAAAAAACCCAATTATTTTCTTTGAGTGATATTAAGTACTTAGTGTAACTCTAGTACTAGTATAATCCTAATAAGGATTAGAGGGGCTGCTGAGGAGTTGGCTCAACGGTTAAGAGAAATCCTTGCTCTTGCCCAGGACCCAGGTTCAATTCCCAGAACCCACATGACAGTTCAAAAGCATCTGTAACTCCAGTCCCAAGGGATCTGACACCTTCGTCTGACCTCTGTGGGCAATAGGCACACACGTGGTGTACAGGCACACACGCAGGCAAAACACTCGAACACTTAGAAAAAACTTTAATTAGAATTAGAGGCCTCTGAGAAATCATGCTTTGAATTTTATGTAGTAAAAAAGCAAAAATAGGGGCTGGAGAGATGGCTCAGAGGTTAAGAGCACTGGCTGTTCTTCCAAAGGTCCTGAGTTCAATTCCCAGCAACCACATGGTGGCTGAAAACCATCTGTAATGAGATCTGGTTCCCTCTTTGAGCCTACAGGGATACATGCAGGCAGAACACTGTATACATAATAAATAAATAAATAAATCTTTTAAAAAAAAAAAAGCAAAAATAGTCCTACACATATGAGTCTCATCAGGTGGTCTCACACAGTCCATTCTCCCATGGATCCCATGGCAGGGTGGGGAATCAAACCCAGGGTCTCAAGTATGCCAAGCGATCCTTCTACCAGTGAGCTCTAATCCTCAGCCCTGCTTTGCTCCGTATTTGTATCCATTACCGACCGGGCACTGGACACTTTGAGTGAGACAGCCCAGAGCACGGTGCCGTAATGGAGGAGGAGAAGGAGCCAATTCCACATCGCAGCGTCTGAACCAGCTCCACAGCCACCCCTCTACCCCTGAGGCCCAGGTTCTGAAGGATGCAGAGATTCTCGAAGGAGAGCTGGAACGGCACCGTAGACAGATGCTGCAGCGCACGCACAGAGGACACGAGATGCACAGGTAGCAGGGATCCGACTCCACAGCTCACACACTCACGGTTCAGGATGTGGACGCTGAGGCTTCTATGACGCTACAGCTGCCTGCAGATGCCAGAAGTAACACCCCCACAAGCTCCTGCCTCAGGACTCCTTCCTGCGTGCTGGGCCCTGGCCCTGGGCCAAAAAGCCCTCCTACACCTTCAGGCCTCAGCCTCCTCCTTCCTTCAGGCCTCTGTTCAGACAGCACCAATCAGCGCCTCCCCCTGTAGTGCATGAAACAGCAGCGGCCAGGACCGGGAGCCAGGGCACCTCCACCCCTGCATGCCTGCACAGCTGTCCGTCAGAGCCTTATCAATGCTCTGTACATAGGCACTGTCCCTTCAGAAGAATGCACACGCACTGGGGACAGACATCTAATGGCGTCTAATTCAACCTAAAGCCATTTAATCAAATTCAAGTCAAAGACTATGGGCCCTAAAGACAAGGCTACAGTTCCCAATTCAGACCCTCACGTGAGGAATATTACTGTGTTTCCAAAATTACTGAAAGTACAAAGCACTGTTAAAAAATCAGTACACATCTACAAAATTAGCACAACTCTAAAAAAATCCATCTTATGTAAATCAGAGTAAATAGGCAAAGAGAAGAAAAGCAACATGTACAATATGTTGGCCAAGAGGGAGTCACACATGGCGTACTTTAGATCAATAATTCCTAAACTCTAGTAGTGTCCAGTACTTGAATGAGAACCTGATGCTCCCTACACACAGACACACAGACACACACAGACGCGCGCGCACGCACACACACACACACACACACACACACGGAGCCACACAAAACTCTGCTTCACTCTTTCTGGCTCCCGTGAAGATGGGGCCCTTAACTCTACTCAGGATAATGAGGAGACGCTTGCTCAGAGACGCCCCCAAACCTGGGTGTCTGGAGGTCTGGGGCTGGAGACTAGGTCCTGCTGCCACTGAGTCGTTCTCTGGCTCTCTGTCACCACCTGCCGGCCAGTCTCAACATCACCAGCTGAAGCTCTTCCTCCAAGGAGAGGCAGACAGAGGGACCCTCCTCCTTGACCGCTGGCTGGATCCTCGCTCCCTGTCTGGAGGGAGCTGTTAGGGACAGGAAGATGAAGACTCTGTCCATGCCCCAGGGAAGAGGACAGCTGATGGGGTCAGATGCATCATGCCACAGGGAAGGGAGGGCCAAGGCGGAGGGAAGGACACATTACACCCAGTTTGGACCTCAGGGACACCAGGTAGGGCTGTGTGAGCAAGATAGAGTGCGGTCTGAGGAGATGATGGCGGAGTCTGAGGGTCGGGGGAAGACTTTGCAGTCATGGCTTGTATACAGGTTACCACAGAACCGCTGTCCTTGAGCCATGGTGAGCGAGGGAATGAGGTGGTGGGGACTTTTTAATGACTGATGAGGACGCCCTACAGTGACCTGAGGGGAAGTTCATGACATCCCCAGGCTATTACAGCACAACTCTCCTCAGAGAAGCTAAGCACGTGCCCTCGCCACCCTGCTGGAGCTGAGTGATCACATGACAGGGACTGTGGGTTCCCAGGTCTACACCGCTCTGACCCTCAGAGTTGGGACATCGCAACCACCTGGCCTCCACTGGTCTGAAGGAATGAGGCAATGGACAACACACAGCTGTGAAAGACATGGTGAAGGCCTACCACAGGAGGCTGTCACAGGTCAGAGGTCAGAGGTCAGGGGTCAGAAATACAATGAGCCTCCATGAGGGTCTTTCTACCCGGGGTGTGAAAAGCATGGTGGGCACTCCTGGCAGCTGCTCAGCTCTCTGAAGCCTCAGCTGGAACCCTCTCCCAAACATTCCTCTACAAGCTCTCCCATCAAAACAGCATTTACCAACCTGCAAGGACACGGACACACACACACACACACACACACACACACACACACACACACACACAAACACAAACACACACACAAAAACACACACACACACATACACACATACACGGTGTGTCAATAGCATGAGGCATAAAAATTCTCCCCAAAGGACCTAGGAAACAAAGCCAGAGCACAGGCAGAGAGAGGCCAGGCCCCAGCAGGGAGCACGGACAGAAACAGGGAGCATGGACAGAAACAGGGACCAGTGTCTCCTACACTTCCTTGGCGACAGAACGCTTTCTCAGCAAGCACAGTGGAGGAGACAGGCCTAAGAAAGACATGGTGACCAGGGTAGCTGCCTGGCTGAGCCTCACTGCAGTGGCCAGGCAGGAGGAGACAGGGCTGGGAGAGAAAGGGGACAGTGGTGACAGGGAGGCATCCAAGGTGACAAATGGCAAGTATGGGTGGGAGGGTCTAGAGGCGTCAGTGAACACGCAGAGCTGTGGATAAAGTCCGGGGTCTAAGCACTCATAGGTGTCGTCCAGGTGAGCGGCCAAAGGGACATTATAAGGGGCCTGGAGTCCGGACCACAGTGTGAAATGCTGCAAACCTGCGCCCACATGACGCTTAGCAACTTCAGGACGGACAGATGTCCTGACACAGGATCCAGCTACAAAGAGAGAGGCCACAGGGCCAGCAATGGCAGTCCACCCAGAGAAACACCAAAAGCAAACTGAAAGCATGCCCCGGAGCCAGGTCCTGCCTTCGCGGGTGCCACACAGAGGTGCCTAGTCATGGCGAGGGGCAACAAGGTGAAGAAAAAGTTTTCAACTTAGCATCAGACACTGGGCATATGGGAGTGGTACCACAGGATAGTGTGTTTCAGAGGGAAAAAAACACCATGAAAAGGTGCTACATTCGGAAACATTACATTTATTAGGGAAAGAAAAACCCTCAAATGTCTTTCAAGGTAGGCCAAAATGCCACATACTTTCTTTGAGGTGTAATTACGCACATTTGTTGAAGATAAACACAGAAGTGTTGGTTTGATCTTGGAGTAAAAGTAGGCAACTGCTTCCATAAAGCACGGAGGCAACTTTAATATTTAAAGCCAATTTTGAGGAGGCAAATGTGCTTTCATCTGCTGGAAAGAGCTGGTGTAAATGCTTTGTTTGGGAAATGGCATTCTTGAGAGTATTTGTAAATGAAGTCACTCAAATAAACGATCGCACTTGCGTTTTACCCGGTCCCTACAACTTGTTGGTCTGGAGAGTAGACATCACACACTTTCCTTCTCAGAAACCGGGAAGAAGTCAGGTGGGGGTTGGGGGGTTGCATCCAGTCTAGCCACAGACCACGTCCTGGGGCTTATGTTTCCACAGCAGGCCAAGTCATTCCTTGTCAACTAGAAGGGGGACATTTTAGGCCCAGGAGATGCTCAGCCAGTAAAAGTGTTTCCACAATGCCAGGCATGGTGCCGCACGCCTTTAATCCCAGCACTCGGGAGGCATCTCTGTGAGTTTGAGGCCAGCCTGGGCTACAGAGTGAGATCCAGGACAGCCAGGGCTACAGAGTGAGATCCAGGACAGCCAGGGCTGTTTCACAGAGAAACCTGTCTCAAAAAACATCACACACAAAAGTGCTTGGCACGCAAGCCTGGAGATCTGAGTTTGATCCCCAGAATCTGCATAAAGATAGGAGAGAACTGACCCACAAAGTTGTCTTCTAGCCTCCACACATACACCATGACATGATACATAGGTGTGCACGCACCGCATGCACACACACACACACACACACACACACACACACACACACACAAATAAATACATTTTTTAAGAGAAGGGAACATTTCAGGTCATTCAGGAGGTGTAAAGCAGTGCTCTGTGACTTTTTTCAATAAGGATAATGTCCCTACCACACGCATGTCACTCATTTCCCATCTCCTGTCACAGTCACAGGTTTTCTACGTTAAACAACTTTAAACAACTCCTAGTCTGGTTATTTTTCCATTACTATCTTTTTGAAAGCAATAAACTCTTATTATTTGTACTATTTAGAGTGTGTGTGTGTCTTTGTGTGCAGAACATGCATCATACATGCATGTGTGCAAGTGTGCATGTATGCATGCGTGTATGCATGTTTGTATGCTCGAGTGTGTTACATGCATCATGCATGCATGTGCTGTGTGTATGTGCGTACATGCATACATACGTGTGTGTGTATAAGTGTGTGTGACATGCATCACGCATGCATGTGCTGTGTGTATGTGCGTACATGCATACATACGTGTGTGTGTGTAAGTGTGTGTGACATGCATCACGCATGCATGCGTGCACAGGCTCAGAACAGGATTTCAGATCCCCTGGAGCTGGAGTTATGGGTGGTTGTGAGCTGCCCGACACCAACGCTGGGAATCGAGCTTGGGCCCTTTGGAAGAGCAGTACACAGTCTTAACAGCTGAGTCATCTCTCCATCTCTCCCCGCAAGTCGTAAACTTTTAAATAAAAGTGGAGATCCAGGGTCTAGATCTGCGCCATCGATGCCGCTGCTGCAGCCTGGACCATCACAGAGGCTCACAGGGAGGTCTGGGACCCAGGGAACCCAGTGACTAAGGTACTAGGGCCAGGGCAAAGCTGAGCTCAGTCCAGCAGAACGAGAAAGCAGACACTCCCTCCCCAGGCTCCGCACAGCCCAAGCCTTCCTGCACACAGACCGAGACCTGAGGGCCTTAGCCTGGCCTCAGACAAGTACCTCGCTCGTGTAGCCTGATGGCCTCTATGAGGTACGGCACCAAGAGACGGTTCACGATGAATCCAGGAGTGTCCTGTGGCAGGGAAGAGAAGACGGTGACCTCATGAAACTTGACTTTCTGCTTAGTACAGACCACTCCTTACCCTGGATGCCGCTGCCCACACTCCTGCCATTCACGTTTTTCAAAACGCGCTGTGAAGTTCCTTACTCTATCTCGTACGGCGGCGACATCCCCTCTTCTACCCTCCACTTCCCTCTCAGAAATCACTCCCTTCTTACACATTCCTCCAAAGAGTAGCATTCCCCAGGTTCCTGGAGCCTTCCCTGGGTCAGCTCGGTGTGTTTCAGAGCTAACCCGTCTGCACACTGCACAAACCGACCATCACGGCAATCGGGTCCAAATGCCCTTTTCACTTCAGCACACCGACAGCAAGGCCTGGGCTGTTTCCACAGGGCGGGGTTGCCCAACAGTTCCAGTTGTACTAATGACACCGTGTTGTTTTATAACTGAAACCTGGGCTCCCCTCTCTCAGACTACACATAGGTGGCATGGGGTTTGGCTTAGCGGTCAGGTGTCTCAGCTTACAAACTCGCCCTTCCAGGACATGGAGAGGCCTGTGTCAACGGTGCCCATGGCTCACACGATTAGAAGTATTCTCCTAGTAACATGGCCACATAAAATCACCTCCCTCCCAGGCGACCTGCAGTCTGTCCCCAGGGGTTCACATGTTAGGAGTCTGGTCCCTGGAAAGATGGAGTAAAACATCTAAGAGATGCACCCCAGAGACAGATGCTTGGATGGCTGAAGACTTGGGTCTCAGAAGGGACCACTCCTTTCCTGGATGGAGTTCTTCCCAGTGACCTGGCCCCAGCATCTCTCTGACTTGCTATACAAAGATGTATTCCTTCCTCTTGAACGATCTCTGGCCACTGTGACGCTACTCAGCCCTGAGGTCTTTACGAGAGCTCAACTGATATTGGCATCATGCCCTCAAAGCTCCCCTCCTCCTTCATAGTTACCTGCCTCGGGGATTTTACTACAATAACAGAAAACAGACAAAAACATTACGCTCACTTTACCTTGCAAGAAACAGGATGCTTTCCTAAGGTTTTGCAAAAGTCGACCAGAGATTCAAACGTCTTCTGGCTAGTCATTGGTGTTTTAATGACCTGGAAATGCAAAGCAGGGAATTATGACCAGAGAGGACGGAGAAGCAGCTGAATGATTCAAGGAAACTGAACCAAAGGCTCTATCTACACAGGAGACGAAAACATCTTTAGTTTTAGCACAGTTGGCATCTCAAGCCAGAAGCAAAATGTTGACCCAAATGTCCGTGCAAGACACTTTGCTGTGGAATATTCCCTTACACTGTGTGAATATATGTCACTGTGACTGGTTTAATAAACAAGCTGACTGGCCAATAGCTGACCAGGATACATTTAGGCAAGGAAGCCACACTGAGAAATGGGGTGAGGAAGAGAAGAGTCTGAGGACTCACCAGCAGACGCAGAGGGAGCAGGAGATGAACATGCCATGCTAATAAAGGTACCACCATGTGGCAGAGCATAAATAAGGAATACGGGCTAATTTAAAATGTAGGCGTTAGTTAGTAACAAGCCTGAGCTATTGGCTGAGCATTTCTATTAAAATTAAGTCTCTGTACATTTATTTTGGAGGCAGCGGTCGAGACAGAGAAATGTCCAACTATACACTGGAGTTTGCAGAATGCACAAACCCAGGGTTTAAAATTCAAGTATATGTGGCTGGGAGAGGGGGAAGGAGTCCTTTAGGCATTGTGATCCAGGTGTCTTAGCGTCAAACCCCAGCTGCATCCCTTTACTGAACTTATTGGCATGACACTTTTTCTTGAAATTGAAGTGACCTTAAAACCACTCTGTCCACATCAAGTTGCTGAGGTAAGAAAGACAGAGTAGGGGTAGGGTAAAGTGCCGCCGCAGGGACAGGGTAAAGTGTCAAGCATGGTGTCTAGTAGAAGAAAGACCCAGGAAACGTCAGCTCTGCTTCCTGTCATCGTTAACGGCTACAGGGTGGAAACTGGTGCAGAGCGGGGTGGGGGGGCTGTCCTTAAGGTTCTCTGCATGGGACCCACCTATGCTGCAGATGGCGTGTGATGTACCCAACTCACAGCCATCTGGACGCCTAGATGAGTGACCGTCTCGCTGTGCGACCCGCTCCCACACAGATGCCCGGCTCACAGGCCCTTGCCCTTCAGGAGGGTTCATCAGAGAGGCGCGCTTTCATTTTAACCACTAGGACCCCAACTGGGGGCTGGCACTGGTGCTGACAGACCTCCTGACCTTCCCTTCAGTGCGCACAGGGCACAGCTGCTACCCCACCGGAATCCAGAAGAGGTGGCACCAAGCGTAACGCCCCAAATTATAGCTTTCGGAGTCACTTGTGGGGAATTAGATTTGGGTAAATGGAGAGCCCAGGGTGAATTACATACACCACATACGTACACAAATATTTTAAATGGCAGTTAAGAACTTCAACTAGAGTCATAACGAGGAGGCTGAGCGTCTACAGGAGACCCTCCCTTGCAGGTGCCTCCATCCCTTCTGTGAAATAAGGATCAGGATACAAGTGTCCCATGTAAGAAGCTGATCTGGCTAAATGAGCTAGGTCTGTGCGGGGATGAAAGGAGCTACATGAGAAGCATAGGAGAACCCACGCTGCAGTGGTGGAGGGTGTAACACTGCAGGAGGCAGAGGAGAACCCACCCTGCAGCGGCCGAGGGTGTAACACTGCAGAAGGCATGGGGAACCCACGCTGCAGCGGTGGCGGGTGTAACACCGCAGGAGGCAGAGGAAACCCACGCTGCAGCGGGCGAGGGTGTAACACTGCAGGAGGCAGAGGAGACCCACGCTGCAGCGGGCAGAGGGTGTAACACCGCAGGAGGCAGAGGAGACCTACGCTGCAGCGGGCCGAGGGTGTAACACTGCAGAAGGCATGGGGGAACCCACGCTGCAGCGGTGGCGGGTGTAACACCGCAGGAGGCAGAGGAAACCCACGCTGCAGCGGGCGAGGGTGTAACACTGCAGGAGGCATGGGGGAACCCACACTGCAGTGGTGGAGGGTGTAACAGCAGGAGGCAGAGGAGACCCACGCTGCAGCAAACAGAAACAAGCACAAAGATGGAGATGAAGACAGAAAGGACCAGAAACTCCTGTGAACAGTGATCTCCAAACTATTCTGAGGGAGCTGAAGAGTCCTGTATCAGATTCACAAACAGCTAGGATAAAGGCTACCAGCCCTGGACCTTCAAGGTAAGTTGTTGGCTTTAAGGAGTCAGTGGCTGAGTCTGGGAGTTTTGTAAATAGGAGGATGCAGGATCGGTCCTTCAACAAAGGGCAACATGTGACAGATAACATACAGCCCCAACACAAGTCCCGCCCCAAGGGAAGGGAAGGACTCCTTGGCTCACTGCTGCCCTGTTTTGTGTGCTCACCAACAGCACACAAAAATCCTAGCCTGGCGGGTGGGGACAGGGATTGGGCAGGAAGTCCCACCCCTAGCTGAAGAACTAGTGGCAACTGAGAGCTGCTGGGAGCTGGGGAGTAGGTTTTCTTTAAGGGTGTGGCCCCTGGTAAGTTAATTATGTTCCAGTGGGAAGCCATACACCCAAGAGTATATGTGCTTGATGGGTTTCATTTACAAAAAAAAAAAAAAAAAGCCGGGCGGTGGTGGCGCACGCCTTTAATCCCAGCACTCGGGAGGCAGAGCCAGGCGGATCTCTGTGAGTTCGAGGCCAGCCTGGGCTACCAAGTGAGTTCCAGGAGAGGCGCAAAGCTACACAGAGAAACCCTGTCTCGAAAAACCAAAAAAAAAAAAAAAAAAAACCCAACAAAATAACATCAACAACAAAAAAAAAGAGGACACAAAATTGGGAGGATAGGGAAGGGGAGCTGGGCCTGGAAGGAGTTGTAGGGGGTTGGGTGGAGGTGACTATGATCAAAATGCATCATATGAAATTCTCAGAGAACTAATAAAAAATAAAAAACTAATAAATACGCAATAGAATGGACCTTTCATAGGATTCTTCCTAGAAAATGATCACAGCTGCTAAGCATTCTCTGTTAACCAAACACTACAGCTCTCAAGAAGATGCAGTGGGAAAGATCCTTGCTCTTGACAGCAAAGACGACGGAACGTGTGCCGTCTGCAGACTGCAAACACATGGAACCCTGGAACCGCAATGAATGACTCACTAAGTGTGAAATGAACTCCCCCCCCCACCCCCGCTTCTTTGCTGCTTTCCGCAGAAGGGCAGACTGCATCTTCTACTTCCCATGGTTTCCCACGCCTCTTTTCACTGCTCACTTCCTTTTCCAAAAGTTTCATCTATTTTTATGTGTATAGGTGTTTTGCCTGCAGAGAGGCCTGTGCACCCTGGGCCTATCCCTGGTGCCACAACGGTCAAAGACAGTTTCTGATCCCGTGGGACTGGGATTACAGACAGCTGTGTGCTGCCTTGTGGGTGCTGGGAATTGAACCCAGGTCCTTTGGAAGAGCAGCCAGAACTCATAACCACTGAGCCATCTCTCCAGCCCTTATTTCTTTAATATCAGCCTAGAAGAATAGAGGAACAATATCAACGAGACAGGAAAGTTCTCGCTGCAGAAAGACTGGACCCACCACTTGAAAAAAAACAGTGGATGCGAAGAAGCCAGAACTGATAAAACATGCTTTGGTCGGGGATTGGCAGTGGGGTAGACAGAAGGTAAAGGGCTGAGAGAGAAGGCAGCCGGGAACAACTCCCAGAGAGGCCCCCGCCAGTGTCTGGAGGTTCGCCTGGCTCCACATTGCAGCGTCCCCCACACTTCGCACGGCAATAACTCCACAACCCCAGACCAAAGGCTGCTTTAATGGCAGCCGCTCCCCGGAGACCCTGTAATTAACCCCTATAAAGGGCAAGCTGCCACATTTCAAGTGCAAATTGTCCATCGTGACTCCATCTCCCTCAGTCGAGTTTCCCAGCAAGTGAGCAGAAGCATTCCAAACAGGAACGCTGGCAAGCCCTGCCTGGCCCTTCCCCTCTGCTCTCGCCTTCGAGGTCAGCAGGCGCAAGGCTGCGGGAAGCTGCTCTCCACAGCTCTGGAGCGCACAGCGTGGAGACGTGCCTCACCTAAAGGACGGTTGCATGGACCAGAATTCACGCCAGGGGTGACATGCCAGCAGTGACATCATGTCGGACAAGAACTGCATCTCCAGCATGGAGCAAGCTGACCTCAGCAAGACAGTACGAAGGTGCATGGGTCTCGCCTCTCTCACCATGTCAGGGACCCTTAGTGTCCCTCCCTGTCTGGTGCCCCTGTCAGCACCGCCATCTGTCAACATAAGTGACTCAAACAGGAGCATCCACCAAGCAGAGGAGCCTCCCAGGACAGTGGGTGCTTTTTCTTTCTTTGGTCCTAACGAGGACACATTCCGACAACAGAAATACCAAGAGGGACCTTCCAGGTTCCTGTTAAGTTTCATACAGCCTAATGCCCAGCGGGAGGGCAGGTGCGACTCAAAGCAGGATTGCAAAAGCTAGAGAGCGAAACACAGAGGACCAGGTGCCCACTGACCTCCACAAGCTTCATCATGGGGACTGGGTTGAAAAAATGGAGGCCAGCAAATCGGTCTTGTCTGGTGGTGGCGTTGGCTATGCTTGTGATCTGCAGAGAAGAGGTGTTGCTGGCAAAGATCGTATGTCTGTGGAGAGAAAAAAACAGATCAGAATGAGTCCCACGTGTGCCCACGGTCAAAACCATGGCATTACATGACCCCAGTGCACGAGACCGCTTGGCACTGCAGATCTGCTGTACTGCCCCGCTGAGAAGTCAGTCAAAAGGCACAACTTCACTGGAGTGGCTGAAAGCAAGTGGTTCCATTTTTATTTAATTCCTGCATTTTAAAAAGCCCCCGCAGTGGCGGTGCATGCCTTTGATCCCTGCACTCAGGAGGCAGAGGCAGGTGGATCTCTGTGAGTTCAAGGCCAGCCTGGGCTACAGAGTGAGTTCCAGGACAGACAGGACTGTTACACAGAGAAACCCTGTCTCAAAAAACCAAAACAAACAAACAAGACCCCTGCATTTTAAATTAAGCTACGCGCTCCATACACATGATCCTCACCAGGCTTTCCTGAATTTTCAGAAACTAAAGTTCTCTTGTCTACATGTATTAGTTTTCACGATATGTGAGAGACAGAGGCAGAAGCAGTTAGTGGGGAGACCTACCCAACCTAACACAGAAGTGATCAGATTCATGAAAAATGGAAGGACAGACCAGACACTTAGACCCGACCACAAAAACGGTCAACAATCCTCAGGGAAAAGTGCTGAGCTCACAGTGCACAGGAGAGTCCCCCTCTAGTGGGAACCCTTCACCTCGTCATTAGACAAGAATGACAGTGAAAACACACTGCTTTGAACATGCTCAAAGGGGAAGTTTAACCACACAGAACCGGGGGGGGGGGGGGGGGGGGTGCACACACAAGACACACGGTCACAGTACTGTGCTTACAGGCCATCCTAAAAAAGCACTTCTGTTTATTCAATAGGTATAGAATCTTAACTTATAAATATCAGCTTACAAATTCCATATGGCCTTAAGATTCAATTCGATTCTTTTCTTCTTTTTCCCTCTCAGATTTAATTTGTTAAAACCAGAATAAAGTGGGGCAGCCAAGTGCACCAGGGCAAATCCTCAGGCTGGACGGCTCGGCTTTCCTGCAGCGCCACCTTGTGGATAACTCGCAAAGCAGCAGGATGCCCTTTAGCCCAGTTGGATCTGGTCTTACAGTACCCAAGGACCGTGGCCCTTACCGACCAGATTCTCTCAGGGTTCATGCTTATCTAAAGCCAATGATACAGTCTGTCCAAATTCAGGGGCAGGCAAGAAGAAGGCAGCTGGGGGAAAAAGAAATCAGTATTTTGAGAAAGAAGGGTGAGGTGAAAGGAGAGGCCGGCCTGGGAATGGTCATATATACCTGTAACCCTAGTACGTGGGTGGCTGAGGCAGGAGGATTGTGAGTTGGAGGCTGTCATCTTGGACCCGAGAAGAAGACACTGTCTTTGGTGAGCGTGGGTAGACGGCTGACGTGGGTCGGCCAGTAAGGGATGAAGATCTCTGAGGTCTCGGGTCAGGAGAGCCTGCTTTCAAGGCACTAGCAGAGGTACCCTTCTCAACCTCCACGGCAGGCTGTTTAGAACCCAGGGTAGCGCTGGGAAGGTCTTTGAAACTTTCCACCCCGAGACCCTTAAAGCACAGGCTGTAAACCTTAGGCCATCCCAAGGTCAGGAGGAGAAGGAGGCAGTGACCTTGCCCACCTCTCACTCCCCTGCACTGGCACCAGGGGGGCAGCGGGGCCTTTCACTGCCTGGGAGCAACCTTGCAGCAAGGCCAGACAGCCCAGGGTGGACCAGCAGGGTGTGACTGCCAGGTCAGGCTCCGTGCTGACTGGAGAGCCGACCCCAGGCCCAGAAGGGTCCTTGCAGGCATGTTTCTGTAGTGCTAAACGCACATAACAGCGGAATGCTGGACAGAAGACAGCAGAGGAGTGTTTCCGGCCCGGCAGGCCGATGTGCAAGAGTTTCCCTTCAGCCACAGCGCACCGGTGTTTCCCGGAGAGTCACTTTTGCATATAACCCTACTCCACCTTTCAGGGCTAACGAAGAAGGGAGGGAGACCTGTGGCCCAGCACGTGTCAATTAACTGGTCAGCTGTCACAATCGCCGAAAGCTAAGAGTCAAACCTGACTGGAGGCCCTCGATGGTGACCCTGGAGTGTCACCTAGGCACAATCTTATTGACGCCAGAGGCCACCACAAGCCTGGAAACTCCTCCGTGACCCAGACGTGGCTGTCTTTTCCGAGATCCTCCCAGGAAACCTGGTGAAGATTCAGTGTTCACTTAATGCCCCCAAGAGGGTTGAAACGAACCCCAGGTAAAACTGAAAACGGCGGGTGTGGAAGACTGTACAAAGGCACATTGCCACACTCAACCATTAGGTCTGGTGCACTCTAGACTCCCGGCAGACCTTTAAAGGTTCGCCTCAGCGGTGGTGGTGCACGCCTTTAATCCCAGCACACGGGAGGCAGAGCCAGGCGGATCTCTGTGAGTTCAAGGCCAGCCTGGGCTACAGAGTGAGTTCCAGGAAAGGCGCCAATACTACACAGAGAAACCCTGTCTCGAAAAACCAAAAAAAAAAAAAAAAAGATTCGCCTCAGCATCCTCTCCTCTCAAGCACACTGTGCCCCTGGTGGCTGCAGGAAACACTCAGGCATGACCCTGGGCGGATCTTCCACTCAACCACTGCTCACTACACCCCTCGAGTGGACAAGGATCGGAGGCGGGAACCCAGCCGCTCTGCAGAGGTGTTGGGTAGCAGACAGCGGACCCGCTGTCAGAGAGGGAAGCTCAGAGGCACAGAAGGAGCTTTGAGAATCCAAGCAGGAAGTTCAGGCACGTACTCTGCAGCGAATTTGTCCAGCCGCTGAAACAGCTCGTTCTTCAACTTCAGATTCTCCACGATGGCCTCCACCACCAGGTCCGTGCTGTGCACCACCGAGGCTGCGTCAGTGCTGGTGGAGAGGCAGCTGAGGGTCTTCGCCACAAACTCGTCACCAGCCTGTGTAGACAAGAAGGAGGAGAGAGCATTCATTCACTGGGCCCCGCAGGCCAGGGGACGGGTCCTGCTGCCGGGGGCAGGAGGAGGGTGGGAGGCAGGCCGGAGAGACCAACACGCCCGGACCCAACAGAAGCCACTTGGAACTCTGAGATGGCAAACTGCCACCCTCCTCTGTGGAGGGACAGAGCATCCGTGTGCTTCCAGACACCAGGGCGAGAGTCAGCCTGTGAACGAACCTAACTGTCCACAGGAAGTAATTACCATTTACTGGAGGCAGGGGACAGAGGGAATAAGTAATTGCTGCTAAAGGAACATGGTGTCTGTTCAAAATCATGAGACAATTTTAGACTATTACACACACAAATATAACCGATGCCACCGGATTTATAAAGTGCTTCAAGCGGGAGACAAGAGAGTGTAACAGATTGAACAGGACCAAAATGTGCTGTGTCTGTGTATGGAAACGTCATAACATAATGTAGAACTCATCACGTAGATATCATCATACACGCTACTAAAACATTAAATGGCTAAACTGGTGAACTTTATATTGTATATATAATACATACCACAGTAAAAACATGTAGGGCAGTTGTTGGGGGTACAGAGGTCTTTGTACTCACAGAGAAGCACTAAGAGAACCAGGAATGTTAATCACACGGGGATGTCTCCTCAATGGAGGAGACAAAAATCAAATACCTGCATACCATCCAGAAAGCTAGGAGTGGATTTTTGTTAATGATCTGGTGTCCTTTTTGCTATCTGTGGAGGTAGACCCACCCACCTTTTCCTATAGAGACAGACTTCACCTAAATTCCCCAGAATGATCATCCCAGACTCTCCCCTCCCGAGACCACTACCCATCCTGTGGGAGCCCATTTTCAGGTTTCCTCGTGGCTTTACCCAGCAGGTCCGCATAGAGAGGATGATTGGACCACGGGTCTGAGTGCAGGTGTCTGAGATGGTCTGCACTTGGCCATGCTGGGAGGAGGTCTTCTGCTCCACCCCTTGGCGTTTCTATAAATACCCTGGGGCAGAGACAGTCAGGGCCCATTGGAATAGGTTCCAGGCCCTCTCGAGGCTGTCCTGTATTTTCTATCTGTTTATCTCCACACTCTAAATCCTTCTATCTAATATTTCCTGCTGCTCCTACTCAAGAGCACTCTGGGGAAATGTGGGGGTGGTGGGTAGCCTCCCCACATCCTTAGGGGAGATGTCACATGTGCTTTATGGCCTGCTGACCTCTATGCTATTGGTCAGAGACCACACTAGATTCTAGGCCATTTAGCTACGGAACCCACCCACATGGTCACTTGTACTTTGTAAAAGAGTCACTATGTAGTCACACCTTAAGCTTTAGTGTGCACCTGGAATTGCACTGATTGGACTGACTGTTGCCTGGAGACCTTTCCCCAAATTGTACTGTGTTTTAAATGTGCTGACAATGAACAGCCTGGCATGAGACTCCTCGAAGTCTGGTTCAGTCAGTCTCTTCAAGTGACTCACTTTCCTGCCTGGACGCCTGCAGGGACCCCCTCAGGCAACTACGTTATTACTGTAGGTGTCTCAAGTAAGAAAACAGCCAAGAGTCATCCAGTCAACAGATGGGTTAATGAATGACGGTTTTCAAAAGACACACAAATTGCCGATACATGCTTTTTAAAACTGTTTTAAGAGTCCACCTTATCCCAATCAGAACGGCCATCATTAAGAAAACAAATGATAGCAAATGCTGGCAAGGATGTGGGAAAGGGGCACAATGATAAGTTGTTGGGAGACAGTATGGAGGCTGCTCACAAATACTGACTATGGAAGAACCATAATGAATGACTCTAAGTCAACACATCACAGAGATCCATGCACATCCAACATCGCTGCATTAGTCATAGTAGCTACAAAAGGCAACCAGCCTAGATGCCCAACAACAGATGAACGGACAAGGGAAAATGTGGTACATATATACACAATGGAACTGTGTTCAGCCATAAAGGAAAATGAAATCACAACACTTAGAGGAAAAATGGATGCAACTGAAGATCATTACGTTAAGTGAAATAAACCAGACTCAGAAAAATAAATTCCATGCTTTCTCTCATACGTGAACTCAAGATATGAGTGTGTGTGTGTGTGTGTGTGTGTGTGTGTGTATGATGAAAGTAGAAAGGGCACGGTGGGATGGTAGAGAGACCTAAGGGAGAGGAAGGAGGAAAAGAGAGCAAATGAATACATGTAGTGTCAAAGCAGGAGGCGGCACTCTTTGGGAGCGGGTAGGGAACCAGAAAGTGGGAGTGTGGGGGAGAAATGATATATGAGTATGAAAATGCCATGATGAAATCCATGACTTCATTGGCTAACTGTGATGGTTATCTTGCCAACTTAACAGGACCTAGGATTACTTAGGAGGCAAGCCTCTGGGCATGCCTTGAGGGACTACCTAGACTAGGTTAATGAGCTGAGAAAGCCCACCCTCACGGGTGGTACCCTTCTCTGCGCTAGGGTCCCTGACTAAATAAGACAGCAAGCTCCGCGTGAGTTTTGTGGTTCTCTGCTGCTTGACTGTGAACCGGTGTGACCATCTAGTCTCCTGCCGTCCTGCCTTCTCTATCTGCTGCCATGTCCTCTCTACCATCATGGAGGGGTCCCCCTGAACTACTGTGAGGGCTAACGTTACGTTTTAGGTTGACATTACAGTGCCTAAGAGATCTAGAAAACAAAAATACCTCTCACCTGTAAGCCCCACTTACGCAAGGACAGATAACTTCCTGGAATGCTGCCTGCTGTGGTTCATGTAAGCTAACAAGCCCTGTGATTTTGCTTCTGTAAACAAGGTTGGTTGCCCCAAACTGCACAAGATGTGCTTAATCACACATAGGCAGGAAGTATGTCAGGATGTATGCTTTATGCTCGCCCCGGATTGAATGAAGGCAGGAAGTACATAGCCTTGTGGGTTTGGCCTTTATAAGCTCCTGACTAATGTAACTTGGCCCATATTCTGGTAGTCCTGGGCATGGACCTGGCCAGTATCCATGGTCCTGGCCAGTATTTAATAAAGCTTGCTTCCAATTTGGCTCAAAAAATTGTAGTAGTTGTCTTATTCTTGCCCAGCAAGATTAACACTCGAAGGGAGAATACTTTCTCTCTGACATCATATTTATCCAGTTATTTTATTACAGAATCAAGAAAAATAACTAATGTGTTTAACTTTAAAAATAATTAAAAATTAAATTTAAATTAAGGTGAAAAAAGGCAAATATCCTCGTTGGATTCTCCCTGCATATGGAAAGACATTCCATTCAAGCTCCTAGAAAATCTTAGGAAACTTTTAACAAGGTGATAACAGAAATCAAAATTCAATTGAGTGGCCTGTGAAGTATTTTGAATTAATGTGAATGGCCAGTGAAAGTGCTGGAAATACAGGAAGTTCCAACAAGAAGAGCCAGCAGGCAAAAGTCCCCATCTCTCATGATCTTCTGGTTTTTTCTGCTCAGGAAAATGAGGAAAATTGGCCCTCCAATTCCCTAATATTTTAGTAAGAATAAGTGCCGAAACCATCAAAAGCATCTATCTAAATACAATGTTTATTATAACATTCAGGTTTTACCTTACAAATCCCAGAAGCAACTTCCTGTGTCATTCTTCCCTCTCTTTTTGCAAAATAAATGCTCCGATTTATGATCCTGTGTCTTACACTGAGCTCAACAGCTGCACAAACCTTCTCTTGATGTTAGAGCAGCGGTTCTCAAAGGTCCTGATGCTGCGACCCTTTAATACAGTCCCTCATGTTGTGGTGACCTCCAACTATATTACTTTTGTTGCCACTTAAATCACTATAATTTTGCTACTGTTATGAATTGTAATGTAAATATGTGTTTTCCGATGGTCTTGGGTGACCCCTGCAAAAGGGTCATTTGACCCCTGCTTGGGGATCATGCTCCACGTGTTGAGAACCAGTGCGTTAGAGCCTCCCCACCAGCAAAATGGCTGACTGCTTTCTAATCAGCCCAGTGGGATGTTTAGTGGCATGTACACAGGTCTAAACAGTCATGAGTTTTATACAAGCAATTAGACACAAGCACAAATGAGAAGCCCCGCCCCTGCCCCCACAAAGGAGGAGCCATCAGGGGACCGGCCTTAAGGGCACCGATAAGACCTTACCTTAGGGTTTTCTGTGAACTTCTTCTTTGCCATCCTCCTCAGGCTGTCCTCAATTCCCTTCTTGGATTTTGCCAGGATGTCCTCTGTTTGGTCCACCAATACAACTGTGTGGCCAGTTGCTGCAGCCACCTAATGGAAAAAAATAAATAAAGAGTTTTAAGAAAAAAGAAGAACCAGTTTCCTATGCCACATGACTTCTACCACTATTCCACTCCAAATAGCGCATGAACGTAAGTACAAGCCAACATTAGACATGTACTTCTTTCCTGGCACTGTCCTAGGTCATACAACAGATTCTCACATGCCAAGAAGCACGGAAGCCTCCCACAGGATATGAAGGGCACAGAAGGCCCTTCCCTGTAGAACCCGACTACCCACTGTTCCAGAAAGGAGCTTGCATTTTCTCCTTAGAGCCAGAGAATGGGTACAGTCTCACCCCTCTGTCCCCTCTGTCCCCTGCTTCTGCAGCCCTTAAATCAGAAGTCGGTGAAACTTAAAATTCTAATCACTGAGCCACAAAAGACCCTGTCCCCAAGAGCTATTTAATGACAAAACTCAACGGAGAGCAAGGTCACTGACAACCAGTTTAGGGGGCAACTCCAGATGTCCACCTTCTCCATTGCCCCTGGGGTGGGTGATGGCCCTGAGACACAGGTATAACGAGCAAAGCTATGTCCCAAGTTCACAAACAGACTGTCACAAAGCTTGGTTTAGACAGTGTCAGTGTCAAATCGACCGGTCTTTCACCAATCTGCCAAAAGCTCTGGTGAGGACCACAGAGCAGGGAATTTGTCTAAAAAAAAAAAAATCATCCACTGACTCACCTACACACAAGTGTAAGTCCACCAAGTCAGCGCAGGAGCAGAGCGACACACCCGACCTACCGCAGACATGCTGTGACAGCCAGCGCCCATGAGAGGCCCCAGGGACTCAAAGCACGCCCTAGCGCCACTGCCTTAGGACCCACACTGGCGGTGTGGCCAGAAGGGCAGGCTAGCCGGAGATCTGCCCAAGAGCTCATCAGAAGGCAAAGGTGGCAAGTCTTAAAACACCGTCGCCATGTAAGATTCTTGAAGCCAAGCCACTCAAACCAGAGAGGGAAGACACAGAAGCAAATGAGCAGCGTGTAAAGGTAAGCAGGTTCGAATCCCAAAGCAAGATTTCCAGTGCCGAGTCAAGTTTGAAATGCAGGCTTCATCGCACACAGCGGTGCAGGTCAGAGCCCGCGCGGTGCAGGTCAGAGCCCGTGCGGCCTGTGGCCTGCTTCGGCACCTGAGAAACACAGAAAGGAAAAGCTGCAGAGACTCAAGGACGGACAGATCAGGGCGACCGGGGCAAGAAGGATGCATCATCTTGATAAAAGACAGACGTACGCAGTGAGCTCAGCTGTCAGCATAAGGTCACACTATTTTCCAAAGCAGAACACCCAGGAACCCAGGCCAGCCAGCAACTCGAATCATGCACAGATCCAATTCGAGTTGCATGAATCTCCAATTCAGGTAGGTTCAAGGTGAATGGGCAGAGCAAATTTAGAAACAGTACAGAAGGAGCTGACACAGCGGGCCCCGGTCTGTCGCCTTCCGGAAGGCTGCTTGTCAAGCTGAGCGTGGGCTCACATCTGGAGCTTGGCTACGGAGAGGACTGCCACCACTCTCTGACAAGGCAGCTTACGCCCCTGCAGGCTCTCGTGAGACAGGGCGATTTTGGAATGTACCAGGTAGCGGGTGATATCACGCGCACTGCCCAGGAAAATCCTGGATAGCGAATCTCTAGCTAGTGCCTCTATGGACGACCTTTACACGTTTGGTCACATCTTGCTGCTGAGGGAACTGCACGTGTCCAATGTGACTGTGATGGGGGAGGGAAGGGCCTTGCAATCTCCTGCCTGACATGTGATATACCCCAGCGGCCCTTCCTCTTTCCCGCTAGCACTTTATACCCTTGGCAGTGGTAAACTGCCACCAGGAGGATGAGTGTATGTGGGTCCAGTGGGCCCTTCTAGAGCATCACCAAAGCTGATCGGGGGAGGGGGGGACTTATAGGGACGTTTGACCAGAAAGGAATAAATCTCAAGTGCCTGGTCGGGCCAGGCAGGTAACTGAACTGCTCTGTGTTTGACAGTTGTGAGGAGTCACTTGACAGGCAGGAGTGATGGCCACCAATGGAGGCTCGTGACCTGCAGAGCAGGGACAAGTAAGGGGCTGCCGTGGGGACGTTTGCTCTTGTCTTGGGATCTCTGAAATACGATCCCGATGGCATTTGAAACAAGCGGTTCCTTACCCACCTGGTCCCAACCCAGATTTCCCCCTCTTCATCTCCATCAGGAAACTGCTCAGGTCTGTTCAGCTCTTAGAGTTGACAAGATTTAAATACTCATGGCACAAGATAGTGCCAAGCGGGAGTCAGTAACAAAGAGCAATAATGGTAAAAGCCTTCCTACATGGGAGTTTCTAATCTCCTCTGTGAAAGCGGCAAACCACCCCCGATGAAGCCTCCAGTCTACCTGTGCACCCACAATGGCCAGCACCCAGGGACCAAGCACCCACAATGGCCAGCACCCAGGGACCAAGCACTCATCCTTAAGGAAGTGGGTCTCCCTTGAGGTGAGACCGCAGGTGATATTTCGAGAAAAACATCTTCCGGTTACTATAACCGCCTCTGGCTGACGTCACCAAGCCCTTTTTGTTGGGTTTCAGACTGAGGAACCATGCTAGTCTCACATCTTTAAGCAGCGCAGAGGAAACCTTCGGGTACTCAGATGTGCAGACAATTGGCCAAACACAGCTGCTCAACCACAGGGCAACTAAATCTCCGGCATTGTTCCAGGAGAGTGAAATGCACGGTACACGATCATGCCAGAGTGACTCTGTGTAAGTCACTGGCTTATTTCCCACCTATCCTGAAGACATGGGAGGCACTGACTGATACCAAGACCAACACCATCTAGACGCTCAGGTTCCATACAGTCACTTCCAACAGATGTGCCCTAGACACACAGGCCAGCAACTACTGGAGGGCAACATCATGACCTGTGCAAAGCTCCAAGCCAGGCCCACAAACAACTTATGGCCCGGTACACTTCACATGCTTCATATGATATCCATGGGATGACGAGACCAGTGATCCTTACTTCTACCATTCCCCTCCACATGGGCCTCATAGTCCTCTCACTGGGGGGTCAGTCTACATGGATTACCACAGAGCTGGATGCTGGAGCAGGAGGGCTGGCTCCTGCCCCAGTAAAATCCAGAAAAGCTGCATGATTCTCATGGCAGACTAGCCTGACCCACTTAGGCAACTGTAAGTATGGTTAGGCAGCCAAGGCCTCCTGAGAGCCAGCATGCTTCTTCCTGAATTACTGGTGTATTTGTCTTTTTTTTCTTTATATATATGCGCCAATGGAAGTAACGTTCTACATCTACTCTCAACCAACAGAAAAACACAAACCCTTTAAAACAGAGAAAAAAAATTAACAAGAACTGGGAGAGGTACTGAGAACCTACTGAGTGCCAGGATCAAGGCTGCATTTTCCCGAGGCCATTTCTGACTAACCCAGCAAGTCTGGTGAAGCAAACAGCATCTGTTTCACAAAATATGTCATCACTACAAAAGAGGCTGAGCCACTTGACTACTCAGGTAAGCCATGACGCCAGGACTAAGTTCTGAGCCTGTTTGCCTCCAGGACTTGTCTTCCTGTAATCCAGTCTGAGGCACACATGGCATTTTGACTATCTGGTAAAATAATCAGCTTTCAAGATACAATTATAATAAAATAGCATTTATAGACTATAAACTAAATTTATATTCTCTTTCAACCCAAGAAGGAAAATTGTAACTATTGTAGACTTGGTAACAATATCACTAAGAAGTCTTACCAATGTCCCCACTGACGTTCTGATACGCATTAACAGTCCCTATGAAATTAACCTTACTGTTCCAGTTGATACAGAAAGAAAACTGAAACTTCCGGAGTGTTGTGTAACAGTTTCCTCTGAGATTAAAACATTCCATCCTGCAGGAGGCTCCTTAAGCAGGAAGGTAAACAAGTCAAAAGAGCTTCAGGAAATCCCTGAAACTGACCAGATTCTCTAGACTCCCTCCCTGCCAGAGTGAGCAGTAAAAGCCAAGAGTCCCTCCTCAGTTGCAGCAAAGTCAAGCTGCTAGTGAGACTCCCTCCCTGACAAGCTGAGCTGCAAAAGAAGACTCTGAGACCAGACCAGCTGAGCTGCCTGGTAGAGGTTCAGACCACAGTTGGAACCTGGAAAGGCACTCTCCGCCTGTTGAACTGTCTGCTGGCTGTGATGTGTGCTCCAGGTTCCCAGCTTTGTGAGCTGTCACGCATGCTGGGGTGGGCTTTGGTGATACAGCTGTCTTTGAGTCATTTCTGCTCCTGTAGGTAACCCCTCACCCTATAAGTAATTCCAATAAAACGCATGGGTTCACCAAGTTGGACTTTGGTGTTATCTGTACTTTAATCTGTCATGGCGTCCCTATCTGGGATGAGTAGACGTGTGTGTTGCACCTCCCCAGGAAACGTTTTGTCACACAACACAGAAATTAATTAGGATAACAGGTCTACAATCATATGGCTTCAATCAAACATCATTTTGGTAATTGTCAAAATACTTATCAGGGCTAGGGAGATGGCTCTGTTGGCAAAGTGCTCACCATGCAAGCGTGAGGAGCTGAGTTCGGATCCCCAGCACCTGCCTGGGGAGGTGGAGACAGGAGTGGACTCACTGGCTAGCTAGTCTAGCCTGCTTGGCAAGCTCCAGGTTCTATGAGAGAAACCATGTGGCAGAGCGTAAATAGGGAATATGGGTTAATTTAAGTGTAAGAGCTAGTTAGTAATAAGCCTGAGCTATCAGCTGAGCATTTATAAGTAATATTAAGCCTCTGAGTGGTTATTTGTTCATCTCCTATTCCCTCTGTGTCTGACTGGCGATTCCTGACTCTGCCCTTCTCCTTCCCATCATCCTTAGTTTGGTCGTCCTAACTATACTTGCTGCCTGATTACTGGCCAATCAGCATTTTATTAAACAATTCAAGTGACAAATCTTCAGTGTACAAGAGGATTATTCCACAGTGTTCAGCTCCGTGATGGTTTACAGCCAAGGAGAGAATATGAA